TGCCATGCCTCCCTCATAGGATTCCCATGTGATCCAGCACTTCTACTTCTGGGAATACACCCATGAGAAGTAAAGCAGGGATGCCAGCTGGTATTAGTGTAATGCACCCATGTTCATGCAGCATCACTCACAAAGGCGAAAAGGTGGAAACAGCCCAAATGCTCACTGGCAGTTGAATGGATCAACAAAATGAATTCTAGCCTTACAATAGAATGTCATTCAGCCTTGAAAAGGAATGAGATTCTGACACAGCCTACAACCTAGATGAAACTTGAAGACATTATGCTAACTGACAGAAGCCAGGTACAAATACAGTATGGTTCCACTCAGATGAGATTATTAGTGCAGTTAAACTTAAAGACTGAAAGTAGGATCGTGGTTGCCAGGGTCTGGAGGGAGGGGGGACTGGGGAATTACGGTTTTGTAAGTGCAGAGTTTCAGTTCTGCCAGATGAAAAACACTTCTGGAGATGGATGGTAATGATGATCGCAAGAGAGTGTGAATGTGTTTAATGCCACTAAACCAAATACTTAAAAGTGGCTAAAATGGTAAATTTCATGTTATGAATATTTTATCACAATAAAAATAATGTTACATAGAGACTTCCAGAAATGTATTGCCTCATAGTTCTGGAAGCTGAAAGTCTGAAATCACCTTCTTTTTAAGATTTTTTAAATTGAAGTGTGGTTGATTTACAAGGTTGTGTTATACATGTTATATATTTTCTTTTTTAAAATATTATTTTCCATTATGGTTAACATAGGACATGGATTACCGTTCTGTGTGCTAACAGCAGGACCTTGTTGTGTATCCATTCTACACATAAAAGCATACATCTGCTAACGCCAACCTCCTACTCCAGCCCTCCCTCAACCCCCGCCCCCTCAGCTATTACAAGTCTGTTTTCTATGTCCATGAGTCTGTTTTGTAGACAGATTCATTTGTGTCATATCTTAGAGTCCACATGTATGTGATAGCATATATTATTTGTCTTTCTTCTTTCTGAAGAACTCCAGTTAGTTCTAGTTGCACTCGTGTTGCTGCAAATAGCATTATCTCATCCTTTTTTATGGCTAAGTAGCATTCCATTGCATATATGTACCTCATCTTCTTTATCCATTCATCTGTCGATGGACATTTAGGTTGGTTCCATGCCTTGACTATTCATAATGCTGCTGTGAACACTGCAGTATCTTTTTGAATTACAGTATCTTTTTGTCTGGATATATGCCCAGGAATGGGATTGCTGGATCATATGACTACTCTATTTTTAGTTAAAATCACCTTTGCGTTGCTACAAAGAGGAGAAGACCTGGTATCCCCAAACACAGTTTGATCCTTAGACATAAAAGGAACCAAAGCCAGAAGGAGCCTCAGAGGCCACCTACATCAAGAGAACTCGTCCCCTCTTTCAGCACCAACACTCCCTTCTCATGACAATTATTTTGTGACAGTCCATTCATCTCTCTAAGTAAAATTGAAACTATAACTCAAGTATGTGCATAATGTTCAGAATGAATTAATAATAAGATGTCCTAACTATAAAGGAATAAATAAAAGGAAACATAATAATATGTATTTCAATAGAAATAGATTTGGACAGTTATACAAGAATGATATAAACAAAGAGTTAGGTATTTGTGCTGCTTACAATGGACAAGTTTGGATTGGAAGGTAATAGTAAACTGAATGTATGTTTCATATGCCCAGGAAGAATCTTTTTGAACATAATACAGCCAGACATGCGAATTGACCCAGTAGTGATTTATTGGTGATGCAAACACTGCAGGCAACATTGCCGCGGGGCGCCGTGATTTTTCCAAAATGGGGAGGAATGCTTGGTCAAGTTCCCACTGGGGTATTTACACAGCAGTTCCTGTTAGCTGTTGGATGAGGGCTGCTTCTAGTAGGTGTTAATTCCCCAGAATTCCAGCTGCCCCTGGGCACACAGGCACGCAGAGGCTGGCAGCTGGAAGTAGCCCTCACACACCACCACTGCAAGTTCTAAGGGGTATGGAGAGTCACATACCATCCAGGGGGAGATAAATGACATCCAGGGTAAAAACTGGGGGGGAGGGGGCAGCTGGCAGCAGGAAGTGGCAGGAGGACCCCAGAGAACCTGGCATGGGGAGTGCATTCGTCGAGGCTTGCTCCTGGTGGGCCTGTGGAGGAAGGATGCCCACAAAGTCTGCTGCCCAGCGCTCAGGAATCCTTGGGCTTCAGCCCAGTCCTGTCTCCTGAGTCCTGCTCCTCCCCAGGTCCCGTTCTCCCCATGAAGTCTTGCCACTATTTGGATTCCCCGTGCTTGGCCACGGAGCCTAGTTCCCTCATTCTCTCGCTTGCACTGGCATCCTTAGGATGAACCTCCATCACTGCATCACCGAGATGTCTCTCTGGATCATACAACCACAGAGCCCATCTCTAGGCTCATCATTTTTAAAGATACGAAGGAGGAGGGTGAATACTTTTGGAGCCCACACTTTATCTACTGTTCTCATCCCTCTCTGCAAATTAAACTTATGCACGTACTCAAAGCAACCTAGAAAAATAGTGTTATTAACTGCACATTACAGACGAGGTGACGGTGGCACAGAGAGGTTAAGTGACTTGCCCACAAGCACACAGTAGATGATGGAGCCTCAGAAGGAACTAAGTGATGTGGATCAAAGGCCCACCTGGGTCACCGCGCCTCCAACCAGTAGTCTACAAGGCCTCTCAATTAAGCAAAATGGTTTCCTGGTTCTGAATCTTGACCTTTAGTCACTGAGGGATGCTCTTGTTTTGCTGTCCTGTTCAGGCCCTGCCCATGCACCGCTGGAATTTGAGTCTCGGTTGGAATGAAGAGCAGCCTTTAAGGAGTATGCAGCCTGGGGTCAAATCCCAGCACTGCAGCTCGCAGGGCTGTGTGACTCGGCCCTTGGCTGTCCCTGCCTGTGCTTCCTGGGCCTTTCAGAGGATTGAACCAAAGTAAAAAGCCCATTTGAGGGGGATTCCCTGGTGGCTCGGTGGTGAAGAATCAGCCTGCCAATGCAGAAGACCTGGGTTCAATCCCTGGTTCGGAAAGATCCCCCATGCCGTGGAACAGCTAAGCCGGTGCGCCACAACGCCTGAGCCCACACGCCACTGCTGCTGACGCCCGAGCGCCCTGGAGCCTGTGCTCCGCAACACGAGGGGCCAGCACAACGAGAAGCCACGCGCTGCAGCCCCACCCTCGACAACCAGCGAAAAGGCCACGCAGCAGCGAGGACCCAGCACAGCCACAAATAAAGAGCAATTTATTTTATTTATATCTTTTGAAAAAAATAATTTGAGGTGACTTCTCTGCTGTGCGTATTTTTTTCAACAGGCAGGCTGAAGGAACTGAAAAACCACCCTATTTTTCATGTCTTCCTGGGGTCCCATGGGCCTCCCCCACATCAGCTGTCTCCACCATGGGGAGGCTGAAGGTGGCTGGGAGGGGCCCTGGGTGTCACAGGGGAGCAAAGTCGGGGTGACTTCTGGAGGTGGGAGGGGTGGGGACTGGTCCCTGGGAAGCCAGCCGACACCTGTCCAGCCAGACAGTCCCTCCTCTTCCCATGGGGGGAGGGAGGTCAGAGGAGACCCATGTGTTTACCAGGCGCTGCCTGGCAACCCCCTTGGGCCAGATGAAGCCACTGAGGCTCAGAGCAGTGATGGTCAGGAGTCGGGGGTGGGGTGGGGGCTCCACCATCGAACCGAGGCTGCAGAAAGGCAGGGGGCGGCCACTGAGCATGGAAGAGAGACGGTCGGGGCACCACGTCATCTCAGCTCACCCCGATCTCTGCAGGAGCCTCCCAACCTGTCCCCCTGCCTTCCCGTTGGCCCCACTCTGTGTGTTCTGGGCCCCAGCTGAAGCGGTCCTGTGAAACCCAAAGGCAGACCATTCAAACTCGCCTTGTTCAAACTCTCCGTGGCTCCCACCTCCTGGAGAAGAGTCAGAGTTTGCCAGGGTCGGTAGAGCCCTACACGCCGACCTTAACTCCCTCTCTGACCCCTCCCAGTCTCTCAGCTAACACATTCCAGACCCACTGGCCTCCTTGCTGTGGGTCAAGCTGCAAAGCCTGTTCTCCTTCCACCTGGAATGTTCCCACAGCTCACTCAGGTCTGCGCTCAGATGTCACCTCAGAGTGGAGTTCTCTGACCGCCACCCCATCACCCTGCATCCTTGAATACCAATTTCTTGTCCTTAACCTTGGCCACCTCCTGATGTTATGGTCAAACTTGTTCATTTATGTTTGGTCTCATAGAAGGTGAGCTCTGGGGAGGGTGGGACTTCCGTTCGGTTCTCTGCTGTGACCTCAGGCTTTGAACAGGGCCTGGCATTTGTTGAATACGTTAATGAAAACAGAGATGGGCAGAGAGATGGAGGGGGGATGACAGACAGGTGGATGGGCCAGAAGAAGGATGGATGGATTAATGGGTGAAAGGGTGACCACAAGGGTGGATGCATGGATACATGGATGGAGGGAGGGGTGGATGGATGGATGGATGGATGGATGAATAGCAGATGGAAGGAAGAAGAACTGCAGGAACGGAAAGAAAGATGAATGGGTAGAAGGAAGGATGGATAAACCAATGGACAGAAGGAAACACAGAAATCCGGAAGGAAGACTAGAAGGATGGATGGACAGACAGACTGCCAGATGGAGACGCAGGCGGACAGACACAAGACCAGGGTTCACCCGATGAGAACCGGGGGCGTGGAGACGGAGCACAGCTCACTGCCGCCCCTGGGGCCCTCAGAACCTTCCAGCCGCAGTCTCCCTCACCTGCCCCACCCCACCCCCCAGCCCGGGCCCCGGGCCCGCCCCCTCACGCAGTGACGTGGAGGAGCATGGCAGGTGGGGGACCGGCCCCAGGCTTTATTGAGCAGATTCGGGGGAAGGGTGGCCCGGCAGGCCCTCACCCCGGCCCTGGAGCCGCCTCTTCTTGCCTTTGCTGCCCCCCGGGGCGGGCCTGGGCCCCGGGGGCCTGGGTGCCCTTCAGCTGCTGAGGAACACGCCTCTCTTATGCCACTTCTGGTCGCGGATGCGGCGCACGGACTGCAGTTGCGGCTGGTTGGCGTCCCACTCGTTCCAGTGGCGGTACTCACCCCGTTCGAACACGTACTGGCGCCCGCGGTAGCCCGGGAACTCGTAGCCAACCCACCTGCAGGGAGGCGAGGTCAGCGTGAGAAGCCTCCGGGCTCTCGCCTCCCAGCCAGACCCAGTCTTTCAAAACCAGCCTCTGAGCCTGCTCTTCACCTGCCCGAATCCTTCCTTGGCTTCCCGAGGCCCTGGGGATGAATTCAAACTCCTCGCCCTGCTCACAAATGAGACTCTAGCCTTACCTCTCATTCCTCCTTCATACCCCACACTCCAGCCTGGCTTAGTGTACTTTCTCTGAACCTTTACACATGCTATTCCTTCTGCCTGGAATGCTGTTCCTTGCCTCATCCTCATTTCATCCTCTCTTCCATAGCAAACTTTACATATCAAGTTGGACATCTCCTCCTCCAGAAAGCCCTTCCTGATTGCCTCAGGCTAAATCAAGTGCCTCATCAGGACCCCCAGAGCCCTTGCATGTCCACAGTTCTGATCACTATGAATTGTGAATAACTGTTTCCTTGTCTGTTTCCCTATTACACTGTGACATTCCCAAGGGACAAATGATGGGACTTGTGTAGTTCTTATCGCCCCCTTACCCTACACACACAGATCCTCAGTGAAAAGCTGTTGAATATGGTATTATCTGGTAGAGGCGGCACCTCTCAAGGCCCAACCCCATGTCACAAGCCCACAAGTGAGATGTAGTTGCCTAGACAAAGGGAGAGTGACCCTAAGATTGCATTAACAGAGATATCAAGCCTAGAAGGAGGGAGGAGAAGAGCCTGTTCTCTTATGTACCACTCGGGCCACCCCTACATACATGCTGGGTCTCCTGGTGAGAAGGACAAAGACTGTGAAAAGGGGAAAAACAAATCTGAACTCCAAGGCCTAGGGGAGTTCAGAAAAGGAGTGAAGACTTTGATGCAGACAAGTAAAGGGGTGCAGATTTCACTTGGTTAAAAAAAAAAAACAACTGTCTCTAAGTCGAGGCTTCCTGGAAATCCAATGGTACAGGAATGCAAGCAGGTGGACATTCAAATCACGGGGGCTTTGAGCAAGGCTGGTGTAGGGGCCCTGACTCGGATGAGGGGCCTCCAGATCCGGGGGAGCTGGAAATGTCAGCTATGTAGGAAACCGTGATCAGAGATTCCATTTGGAACCCAAGGCATGTGAATTGGAGGACAGGGCAGGGACAGGAGAGGGGTCGGGTCCCTTACGTCCCATTGATGGCCCGGACACTCGCCACGCGGTCCTGGAAGCCGTGAGCCCAGAGGCTGGGCACGTCATCGTCCACTATCTCCATCTTGCGGCCGCCAAAAGCCGGGTTCTCAAAGAGATGCAGTTTGTGATCCGGGCCATCCTGGGGGCAAGACCACGGAGGGTAAGACCATGGGATGAGCCGGTTGCCCCCACACCCAGGAGGCTCCAGCAAAGGCTCAAGGCACCGCAGAGTAATGCCCACCCCCAGAGCTGGTCTCTTTAGGACTTCCAGAGCCAGAGAGCCGTGAGGCTGAGGCCAGAGCTGGTCTCCTTAGGACTTCCAGAGCCAGAGAGCCGTGAGGCTGAGAGGAGGGGCTTTCAGGTCTGGTTAAACCTTGTCATTTAGCAGATAAGGAAACCGAGGCACAGAGAAGGTGGTAGGAGACCAGAATCACTCATGTAGAAACATTCCCGCTTTATGAAAGCAGATTCTGAGTCGGTCTACCTGGCCTTCCTCCTTCCAATCCCCACCTCCAAGGAGCATCAGTCATTGTGAGCAGGAGGAAGGGCGGGGCTAGCCCTGAGCCTGAGTCAGCAGGTGGGAGGGAAGAGCAAAGTTTTACTGAGCCACCAGGCACCGGGCCTCTTTCAGGTGTTGGAGAAACACAGGGGAAAGACTTGAGCTGATTTGCGGTTACTTTCTGGAGCTGTTTACCAGACTGTATGGGTTCGACTGGACTACTTGGCTCTTGATTTTAATAAGGCTACAGAGGGACATGCCAGTGACCTGCTGGCTAATGCAAGATATGAATCCTGGCCTCCCGACCCGCAGCCCAGCACCCATTCTGTAGCCAGCCTCTTGTCCCCCCAAAACCACTCAGATCAGAAATAACGCGGGCTCTCCCCGGGCCAGGTCTCTGCCAGCTGAGCTCGTGAAAGGAGCCTGCCTCGGGAGCCCCCGGCGTGTCCCGCTTCCAGGGGCTGTACTCACAATGTGCAGGGGTCGGACGGACAGGAGGCTGTCGCTGTGGTGACTGTTGGACCAGGCGTCCCAGCGAGGGTAGTCCCCCTTCTCCAGGACGTACTGCTCCCCGCGGAAGGCCCTGCGCTCAAACGCCAGCCACCTACAGGAGGAAGGAGGGCTGGGTCACTCATCTCTGCTGCCCTGGGGTGGGGAGGACCCATGTCTAGGGAGGGGGTGGTGCCCAAGCGCTGCTGACCTTTGACCCTGCCCCTTTCCTCCAACCCTAGTCCTGGTATTGAGGGAGTTACTAGAACTTACTAGGAGCTGAGACTCTGAGCCAGAAAACCAGCCTGGGAAAGAACAGGCCTGGCACACAGCAAGGATTCCATCGACAACTCCTCCTCTTTCTCCTTCGCTTATTCCTCCCCCTCCTCCTCTTCCTCTAATTCCTCTATTAGATTGTTATTCTTATTATTACAATTATACTGTCGTTTAGTACATCCCTCTGTCCATTTTCACAAAAACTCTGAAGTGCATACACTTATTATCCCCATTTGACAGATGAGAAAACAGAGGCCCAGAGGGTGAAGCACCTCACCCAAGTGGTTAGCACCAGAGCTTGGATTTTCCATCTGAAGAATTTAGGGTCCAGCAGATGGTTGGATGGCATCACCGACTCAATGACATGGCTTGGGTAAACTCCAGCAGTTGGTGATGGATAAGGGAGGCCTGGCGTTCATGGGGTCGCAAAGAGTCGGATACGACTGAGCGACTGAAGTGACTGAACTGAACTGACTGGGACTCTGGCTTGCTGGGTGGACGTGGACAGGACAGTTAGCCACTTTGGCCTCAGTTTCCTCATCTGTTAAGTGGGCAGTCGTGAGGATTTAGGGGTATTGTTGCTTCTGTTTAGTCACTAAGTTGTGCCTGACTCTGCGACACTATAGACGAGCCTGCCAGGCTCCTCTGTCCATGGGATTTCCCAGGAAGAATACTAGTTGCCATTACCTTCTCCAGGGGGTCTTCCCAACCCAGGGATCGAACCTGAGTATCCTGCATTGGCAGGCAGAGTCTTTACCCCTGAGCCACCAGGAAAGCCATTCCAGGATATCAAGTGCATTAGAATTTGGATGCTATCATCATTATTAAAAAGTATTAGACCCCACTGGCTGGGCAGCGAGCCGGGTGCCAGAGTCCTCCTCTGTCCTCTCTGCACAGTGCTCTGCCACTGACCCAGAGATGGAGGGCTGGAGGGAGTCCAAGAGAATCACTGTTCAATGCTCCCATTTACAGGTGGGGAGACTGAGGCCAGATATGGGGAGGGCGTTGCCTAAGGCCCCACAGCAGACTGAGAGCTTGCTCCTGGCCCTCCCGACTCCCAGGGGCTCAGGGCGGGGAGGAGGGCGGGGGGTCCGGGTACTCACGGGCCCGACTCCACCTGGATGGAGCCCACCTTCTCCAGCAGGCTCTCCGTCAGGTTGGGGCACTCGGCTGTGAGCTCGCACCGCTTGCCTTGGAAGTTCTCCATCTCGTACACGATCACCTAGAAGGGCAGCCTCCTCAGCACCCCGTCGGGCCGGGCTCCCAACCCCAACCAGCGTCCTGCCTGGGAGGGCCTTGGAGGCAGGTTAACACCCCCTGCTCCATCAGCTCTGCCTGCAACCGGCCTGAAGCCAGCGCCGCCGCGGGCTTGCCCTGCCCCCTGGTGGCCACAGAGGGCAACGCCTCCAGGAATCCCCATTAAACCAGGGGCCCGCAAGCTGGGTGTCTGGCCGGAACCAGGGCAGAACTTAGTAAAGCAAAAGGTCCAAAATGACTGGAGGGAGGACTGTGGCGAAACGAAGCTGCTGTGGTCAGGAGGGGCTGTGGGACCCCTTCTATGCTTTTCGCGAGAAGCCACAATCTGTCATTTCCTTAATGTGAGATGTCTCTGTTTTGAAAGTCCTGGGCACAGCAAATAAAACTCCAGTTTGCACTAGCTGAAATTCACCTGCCCCTGTGCCCCCGAGGAAGGGGCTGCTAAGGCAGAAGGGGTTTTGCCTCTTTCACCCGCTTAGAAGCACTAACTGTCTCTGCAGCGGGTCCCTGGGGAACATCAGCTCCTGTCATTTTACACAAGGGTCAAGGGAGGCCCAGAAAGGATCCCAGACTGCACAGCAGGTCAAGTGGAGGTCCTGGATTCAGAAAGTCCGCTGGCTCTTCATAAGCACTGCTGTGGCCAGGGGAAAGCCCACAGATGCCGAAAGGAGCCAGGAAGGGCTGGCAGTGATGCCCCCTTCTCTGGTGGGGGGATACTGGGGGTCCACAGGGCAAGGCTGATTCACCCATGAATCAGGCGCAGAGCCAGGCAAGCCTCCTTGCTGCTCTTCCCCTCCCGGTGTTGCCCGTCTGGTCAAAGACCCCACTTACTTCCTTAGTCAATCCATCCTGGGACCCCACCTTATTAAAGCCCCCGGCATAGCTTAGAAAGGGCGGAGAGAGCCCACAAACGCCAGCTCTCGGGTTTCTCCGTTTGCTGGCCATGGCGATGGCACCGGCGTTTGACCCTCCCTGAGAAGCGTGGGTGCTGTCCCCAGGTTAAAGGTGGGGCTGCTGAGGTCCAGAGAGGCCCAGGGACTGGACCGAGCTCAGGCAGGAGGGTCAGCGCTGTGTCCTGAAAGCCCCGTCAACACCGGCAGCGTGGGTGTGACCAGGTCCCCCGTGCAGATGAGGACACAGAAAAGGCAAGAGCGGACAGAGAGGGGAGATGCCCTCCTGCTCCCAGCTGGCTGGAAGGAAGGGCTGCTGCTGCTTTCTGGAGAGAGGCTGCCTGGCCCGGAGGCGGGCCCCGAGGAGCCAGGGCCCCCTGGGACCCCTCCCCTGACCCCGTACCTTGTAGCCGCCCCCGAGGCCGCCATGGCTCTTGCCGGCCGCAGCCTGCTCCGGTGCGCTGTGCTGCTCTGCCATCTCCGCGGGAACCCCTGTGGCTTCGGTCAAAGCAAATGGTCACCAGGTGCGCCCGGAGGGGAGACCCAGGTGCCTGGAGTCGAGGACAAGCTCCAGAATCTGGCTGCCTCTGAGATGTGGTCGGCGCTCACAACCAACATTCAGTCATTCAGCAAACATCCACCGAGCATCTAGTGTGGCCCACAGGGCCTGGGACAGTCAGGGGAGGCGGATACCCACTTTACAAGCGGAAATCCCTAGGCCCAGGGAGGCAAGGCTGGGATGGGGCCAAAGCCCGTGCCCTTCCCCTCCCCGGAGCTTTGGGGGGACACGACACTGCAGACTCTCCTCAGAGGGTGGGGCGTGGGCCTCAGGGAGCCTCCTCTCCTAGGATCACTCCCACCTCCGCCCCCCCAGGCAGTAGGCTTCCGTTCAATTCCTTCATTTGCCAAAGTTTCCCAGAGAACCGAGTCGGTCCCTTGCCCTGGGCTGGTGACTGAGAGGAACAGAAGACCACGGACTTGTGGGAAATAGGCGGGCGGACGTCTAGAGAAAGCAAGATGCTGGGAAGCAGGCCCTGGGACACCCGCTCAGCTGGTTCTCATTCCGCATGCGTTTACAGAGCACTCACCGTATAGCAGCCACTTAAAAAAGAGACACGGATGCAGACAGACAGACAGACGGCAGCTCCGCATCCCTAGGGACGGGGCCACACGCTGCCGGGCCTGAATTCTCACGTGGAAGGGCCTGCCTGACGCCAAACACCCGGACACACAGGCCTGTTCTGTTTATAAACACACCCATGAGCGCGCACACACACAGGCTCCCATGATTACTGTACATGGCCACTTTCCACCTGCTGCACAAAAACAGCCCCCCGCTTCTCTCTCGGGGACACACACATGCCCATTTCAGATGCCCCCCACCAAGGTCCGGAAGGCACCACAGCCACACCCCACATTGCTGGGAGCGGATGGGCTGCGTGGCCCTCATACTCAGGACACAGGCCCAGAGATGCTGTCTGCCTGCCTCTGTCCAGCCTCGTCACAAAGTGGGGCCTGGAAATGGGGCCAGGTCAGGGGGGACTCTCAGGAGAGGCGCCAGCCCCCGCTTTGCCCACTCCCCTTCCTCAGCGGTGCTCAGTCTCTGCAGGCCCCCTGCCCTAAGCTCACACCCCAGGGCTTGACCCTGCACACCCCGTCAGACACCGGCTGGCTCGGGGGCTCTCCTGAGTTCTCCCTCTCGGCTCCGGCCCTCACGTGGATCCTCGGCTGATGCGGGGGGCCAGCTGTGCACGCCCCCTCCCCCGGAGACCACCCAGGTCTGGGGCGGCCTCCCCGTCCCCGCGCCCCCGGAGTGCACCTGTAGCAGTCGCCGTGAGGAGAGAGGGGGCCGGCGGCGTCTGCAGACTCAGTCCGCTGCCGCCGGGACTGCCCTATTTATGGGCACTTTCTGACAGCCCAGCACAACCCGGCTTGCTGATGCAGCGCCCTGTCCACCCAATTCCGTGCGCGCCACTTCACCTCAATAGCAGGCCCGGGGAGGCCCCCGCGCCTCTGTCCTCAGCTGTGGTCTCTGATGACTTCCTGGGGGCAGGTGGGCCATGTCAGCTTCCCGGGGAGCCCCACAGCACCAAGCTCTCACTGCCCCCAACTTTCCTGCTCTGGCTTCTTAGCGCCAGCATCTTCTTTTTGGGATGCGCGACACCCTCGGAATGGCTCCAGTTCTTAAAAGCGCCAGGCCCTAGAATTCCTCAATTTTCCCATGTGCCACGGGGCCTAAAATTTAAGTCAGATCACCCTGAACATCCCTTCCAAGGTGGGTGTAAATCCGTCCACACATTTCCACGAGACACAGTAACAGACCCAGCAAAGATTCCTTTTCTTCATACTGAAGGCATCTACGGACGACAGTAACCATTTATGGGAGAACTACTATGTGCGTGGTGCTGGGCCAGCTTCATGAGCAGTGTGTTCAGTCCTCATGCAGCTCCCTTGAGGGGAGAAATTGTGATCGCCACTTTTTAAAGGGGGAGACAGTTCAGAGAGGTGAAGTCACTTACCCAGGGTCACACAGCAGACAGGAGGTGGAGGGGCTGGCCTGCTCCAGGGCCCAGCTCTCAGCCTCAGCAGAGATAAAGATGATCACGACAGTCACTTCATTTATAACCAAAAAATTAGATCTATGCATTTTGTGTGCGTGTCTAACAAAGTATAATTTCGCCTGTGACAGCTACAGAATTTCCTGTTTTCAAAAGTTCGCCTCAAGCCACTTTGCTTTTATGAAAGACCTACATTAGTACCTGTTTTCTCTAACAGAAAAAAATCTAGAGGACTTTTGCTTTTATGAAAAAGGGCGAAAAACAACAGTTGCATTCAGCTTTTATTTTATCACCAGCCATTATAGAAGCAGTGAGCCCCAAGCAGCGACTGGCGCCACCAAGTGTCTCCCGTGGGAATTACACCCAGCATCACAGCGTCAGGCGCCACCGCTTTGAACGGCGTGAGTGTCTGCTCACCTGTGAGCGTTTTGTGCATCTGTGAGCAAGCTGTGTCCACAGGTCACCGCTTCTTCAATACACGCCCCTGCAGCTTAACAAAGATTTCAGAGGCGCGCTGTCCTCTCAGAAGAGAGGAACTTGTATTCAGAGGTTCCTGAAGCAATAAAATAAATGACGAGGCGAAGGAGTGAATTGTTAAGCGGAGGGTTTTCTTTAGCTGTTGCTAGTTTTTGGCTAAAACCCTCAAGTCAGCGCAAACCCCAGCATCCCCGGAGAGGTGGGTGACATCGGGGCTCTGGAACCCGGTGGATCTGTGTGACCTTGGGGGAGTGAATGAAGGTCACAGCCACAGTCTCCTCATCTGCCAGGGGAGAAGCTTCTGTCTCCCTGAACCACTGAGATCACGGGAGCAAAGCAGGGCAGCCTCACTTTCTTAATCACTGAGGACCCTGCCCACTGCTGACAGCTCAGACCGAGGGGCTGCTTCCTTCTGGGGCTCGTGGAGAGCAGAGTTGGTCTCAGCCCCTTAACCTGAGATGTAGCCGGCACCCGCCAGGGACATCAGGGGGTGACAGAGGTGGGGATGGCCCAGCAGGCCTGGTTCCCCCCTGACCAACCCCCCCATCAGCTCCTTTAGGGTCCTGAAGACCCATGTGCCCAGATCTCGCGTGCCACCCGTCTTTAACCTAGAGTTCCCTGTCTTGGTGCAGTTGTCAACTGGGGCTGGGATTATTCCTTGTGACGGGAAGGAGGGCTGTCGTGGGCAGTGGGGGGTGTTGCTCAGCATCCCTGGCCTCCACTCGCTACATGCCAGGAGCACGCCCCTTCCCTCCTTGAGATAATTTAAAAGACACTGCCTGTCATTTTGCCAGATGTCGTGCAGACGGGCAGAGTCCACCCGGGGCCACTGCCTTTAACTTCTGCCGGCTCACGTCACTCGCATCGCCTCTATTCTGGAGGAGCGTGGGGGTCCAGAGATACCCCACAGCCAGGAGGAAGCGGAGTTGGGGACTCAAGCCCACACTGAGTGGAGATCCGGCTCTGCCTCCATCGGGCCCCCTTTCCCAGGACCCCTGCTGCGCCCTCCCACAGGCGGGCCCCCCAGACTGGCCCCCCTCAGCACAGTGGAGGGACTGACTCAGCGGGAGACAGGCATGCATGCGTGGGGGAGTCCATTCATTCACACACGGACACGCTGAGGTCTCCAGGGCAGCTCGCATCAAAGCTTTATTTGCTGTTTCCAGAGTCTGAATGTGACATCTTTGTACATGCAAAAGGTCATTGTGTTTTAGGGCAGTCGACCAGACTCCCAACTGCTCTGCTGTGCGTATGAAATCTCTTTACAGTTACAAAATAGAAAAGCACTTGTAGACATCCGATACTCTGAGAGGTCCGGGAAGCCCCGTTGGTTTTGACATTAAAAATATAGTTTTTTGTTTTGTTTTTTTTCTGGATGAATTCTCAGTCACATGATTAGAGGTCCTTTCTGGGGTTGAATAAAGTGCCGGTCGACCACCTTCCATTCAAAGCCCGTGGAGTCCGTGAATTCGTAAGGCAACTGCGAGGACATCAGTTGGCAGGACGCTTCAACTCTCCTGCACACAGGACTCGAGTTCCTTTTCGATCGTGACTCAACTATTGGAGGAAGGGACCCAGGAGGAAGGTCAGGAAAATACAATGGTGTAGTTATATATATATATACATCTCCACTGCCCCCCATCTTACAGAGCATTCTAAGGATCATAGTCACCGGGGAAGTCTAGGACTTGGAGGATACTGATATGACTTAAGAAACAACGCAGTACAAGATATTTCCCGTAACACAATAGATGACTTTTACAAGCCCCGTATTTACAGGATCTATAAGGCTGTGTGGAACGAGATCACTCTTTCACACAACTGGCATTATATATATATTGTTTTCTTAGGCAGGCACGACGCCGCCAGAGATGATTAAGAAAGTGCCAGGCTGATTCATGAGATGGTGTAGTGCCAGGTGTGAGGGTGACAAATAAGGGGATTTGGGGAGGATGATGGGGAGTGGCTGAGGGGTGACCTTGCCAGAGATCTCAGGCTGACTTTCCAAAAACCTGGCTTTCTGGTACCCCCCCCCACCCTGCTGCAGAAGCCAATCCAGACAAAGAAAGAGATCTCTAGAGGGGTGATGGGGGGCAGGGGGTGGAGAGCAAAGGAGACACAGACTGGCCAACACCCAGCACGTTCGTGCCTACCGGCTTTCTACATGGTTCTGCGTTTCCAGACCCTCGCCTTGCCCAGAATCCCAACACGGTGGCACCTGGCGGCTCTCAGCACGGGACTCAGATCCAGCAGTCCCCTAAGGGGGCGGAGCCTGGGATGGACCCCCATCCAGATGCGGGGTGGGTCCCTCCTACCTGATGGAATCAAGATGCCATGGGGCTTTTTTTTTTTTCTTTCCCTTTCCTGTTTCAACACAGGTCGAAAGAGGAAAGACACAGTCTGACTAGTAACGCCATGGCTGAAATAGGAGGGGTAATTCCCAGCAGAAAGAGCCTTCCTCCCCCTTCCCCATAGACTTCACCCTGCAATGCTAGTTCACACAAAGGCCACCGTCGTCCAGCTTCCTGCATTAAGGGGCAGGGAGGTGTGGGAAGGACCACAGGGATGGGGGAGGAGGAGGAGGAAGACTGCCTGGAGAGCCCTCTCCTTGGGCGGGACGCTGTCTTCCACACAGGACCTGAGTCACCTGGACGCCAGCGTTTCACTTTGGAGAAGATCTGACCACACATCTGTAGGGTGTTAGCACTGCAATCACGCCTGGCTCCTGGGCTGTCTGGGGGCATTGCAAAGCGAGACATAAATGGACAAGGCAGCTAGCAGCAACGGGCGGGAGCAACTGAGCTCTCCTTTGGGGAAACCATGCCTCAGGGTTTTCCAAATCACCTGCACAGCCTCTGAGGCTGAGGGCCTCAGGCCCACATCTATTCCAATACCCAGAGCTAGCCTCACTTCTTCCCGGGAAGCAGAGAAGAAAGCACTGGAAGCCTGCGGCTTGGCTGGTCCCCTGCAAAACCTCCCCATCCGACTGTCCTCTCCCCGAATCCCAGGCAACTGGAGGTTGTCAGGGCTGCATCACTCAAAGCCCCCGACATCCTAAACACTGGGGGGCGGGGAGGGCGGGCGCATCTCTCCCACAGGAGTTTCTCAGGTGGCCCTGAGAGGTTTTCCACAACACTGACTGCCGAGGCCTCGCCGTGGAATTGTACACGTCAAAGGCGTCTGTTACCTTAGCAAGAGACCATGAAGAGGGGGATCGACTGGAGGGGAAAGTGATATGGGCTCATCAAAAGAGCAGCTGTCAAAATGCTGATGTGCAAAGCGGGTGGGGAGAGGGAAGAGGAGGGAGAGAGGGAGAGAGAGAGAGAAAGAGAGAGAGAGAGAGAGATTATACTTTAAAAAATCACCTATCTAGCTATCTTATTTTCGATGCATTCTGTATAAAACTGTCATTTAAAGAACACCAAAGGCCCAGGCGAGGAGGGCTGGATGAGGGCGGGTGACTTGACTGCTGACGAATGCTTAAGGCATCATTCAGTCCATTGAAAAGGAGACAGGTTTCCAAAGGCGGCTCCAGGAGAACTCAAGAAACCAGCGTACATACAACCCCCTGCGTGGACCCCAAGGGCTCACCCCGCTTGGAAAGAGGAGATGTAAAAGAACCCACTGGCCTAGCTGGCTGTCTGCAGTGGCTTCCAGCAGAGCGGCGGGTACGGGAGACGGCATTGTACGGACCGCGGCGGGGCCGGAGGTCCCGGGAGCCTGCGTTGAGCTGTGGCTCCGGACCCACCGAGACTGTTTGCTCTGCGGGGGAGGGATGAGGCTGCTGCGGTCAGTTTCAAGGGGTGGACTTTGCCCATCCTCGTCACCAAGGAATTAAACGGATTTTTATTTTCAGTCCGGGAGTGGGAGGTTAGGGAGACGCTCTGCAAGTTGACCTCGTTTTTGAGGGTTTCTTCCTTTCCTCTAGGGTAAACTGGGGCTGAAACACGACTGACGGAGAACTGAGCCTGGCGGGTCCTGACTGAACACAGCAGGTCACTCGTGCTGCCTGAGACAGAACCAAGGGGCCTCCGCGCCTTGAGAAGGACACGGGAAGACCCCCGCCGGGGAGAGGGGTCAGGCTCAAGGCAGGGACCTGCTGACCTGGAAAGTCACGGCATCACAACGAATAAAAGGTGAACCGCACCTTAAAAAAGAGAAGACAGAAAAATCAACTGACACGGGTCCTGAAAGGGTTAAATCCCCGAATGGCTGGAGAGAACGGACTGACTGCAGACTCAGGGGATGAAGACAATGCAAACTACGGTCAAGCAGGACCAACCCTCCGGACACAGAAGCACACGGCTGCCGGCGACAGGCTCCAACCACGGCCCGTCCAGGGGCCGGGGCGCAACCCACAGGACTTGCGGGGAGGGCCCCCCACTCCGCCTCAGTCACTGCCCACTGTCTGAGCCATAACCCCTCTCTGGCCCAGGTGTTGGTCTTAACCCAGAGCAACAGGATTGGTCTCCATCCCCCAAGAGAGGGAAGAGGTGGTGAAGGGAGATAAGAGAGGAAGGAGAGGCGGGGCGACGATAGAGACTGAAGGAGGGAGCGGGTGGCCAGGGAGAAGGGAGGTGTGATTTGACAACATCTGCCAAGAATGGATTTCTCAAAGAGAGACTTAGCAAGCTCAGCCCCCACGCCCCATAGCAGTCCTGGGCGGCTCTATGACCTGCCCAAGCATCCTTCTCTCAGGTGGGCGGCTCCCAGGCAAGGTTGGCACAAAGTTTATGGTGACTCCAGCCGTGGCGGGTGGGCCGGCCATCTCTGGGATGTATGCTGGAGCCCTGGGCCTAAGAGGTGGAGGAGGCTGGTGTGGAGAAATTTCTAAAAAAAAAAAAAAAGGACACAGTAGACAGTGACTGGAGATCCCAGAGGTCTTGGAGGTTTCTGGGAATGAGCTTAGAGTTGGCAAGCAAAAAGAGGCCAGCCAAGGCTGTACTTGGTTACCTAGCATCCGCCAGGTCTGTCTGGAGTCCCTGGACTGGGGGTTAGGGAGAGTGGATGGACTCCCCTCCAGAGACGGGCTTTCAGAAAGACTCTCCCTTCCTGCATTTGGACCTAGAAAAAGCACCTGGTCAGCTAGAACTGGGGGGCTGGGGTGGAAGGGTGGGTCCAAAGGAGAGGTGAGAACAAAGCAAAAGGACCCCTCATTCACCGTGTGCCCTGAGGCCAATGGGGAACGCTTTTTTCCACGCCAGTGGCGCAGGTCGTGTTCAGAAAAGGACTCTGCAGAAGAAGACTCCAGGGGCGGGTCTGATGTCTGGGAGGGAAAGGCACTGCCGTTTGGGCTGCCGGTTTTGGAAGCCTTGAGAGCGAAGGTCACCCCACAGAAGTTCGGAGCTCTCACGAGAAGGAACCAGGAAAATGCACACGAGGGTGGCAATGGCAGTTTAAAACGCTTGGGGGCGGGGAGAAGATAACCTGAGATGATCGGATACTTCAAGCAGACCACGCGCACGCCTCCCCTCCTGTTCTGTAGCGTGAAAACATACATAGGTACTGAATTGCAGAGAAAGTGGGTGAGATTATTGCTTTATCGCCTTCCGAAGCAAACAGATGTGAGGAACAAGGCAACAGGCCGGCCCTGCACACAGCCCCACTGGGAGGATAAACACACTTGAAGGAACCATGGCAAGGGTGTTTCAAGATCGGAACTGCTGATTTCTTTGAAAGGGAGAAGGAATTCGCCAAAGGAGCAATCGGGACCCACCCACCCCCCCACCGCCCCCGCCTGCAATCCGGTGGTACTGCCTGGACCGCTGGTTACAGCAGGAAACGAATGCGTTCATCTTCCTTGGAAATGTCCTTTTGAAAAAGATCGGCCCTGGGGTGAGGGGCGAAAGAAGCGCTTTCATGATTCAGAACCCAGGGGAGACAGTCCAGCCTTTATATCCATGTTCCTGGAGCTTCACAGGGGTCTAAAAATGCGTAGAAACGCATATTTTTACGTTTAAAAAAAAAAATCCCCAAAAGACAAAACCACCAGCATGGACATTTCTGGGCCGCTCGTTCTCTTCCCCAGCCTGAAGAGCTGTCTGCGGAGACGGTGCACAGGCTTGTAAAGGGTGAGCCTTCCTCCCTGATCCATCGGGGGAGCCTGCGGGGGGCTGGCACTGGGACGCCTTCTCCACCTGACTGACAGACCGACCAACCGACCAGAGGGACCCAGGCATGTGCAGGAAGCGACGGCAGCGGCGGGACCTCATCTTCGGGTTCGGACAGTTAAGGCTTGTTCGTTAGACGTGACGGTGTCCCCTGTCTGGAGAGGACAGGTGTCAGCAAGGGGGACGTGAGACCCCACTTCTCCCCAGCATCGAGCCCGCAAAGCTTTCCTGGTGCTCCCCAAGACACCACCCCAACAAGCCACGGGCCAGGAAGGATGTTTTCTTTCTTTTGAGCAGTGGGATGAAGAAGGCGGCGGGCGGCGGATACGATGGAATGAGCCTGCAATTTAGGGTCAGGTCAGGGGGCCAGCTTCGGTGCCCTCAAATGGATTGCTGGAGGCCTGACTGAGACATCATGGGTACAGCACTCAACGCTGAACAGACACAGGCTCGGATCCCCTCTCCAAAACCCCAGAGCACAGTTTAATAGGAGAATTCAGAGATACTTTTGGAGTTTATTGTGTGTGTGTGTGTGTGTGTGTGTGTGTGTGTGTGTGTGTTCAGTGGCTTCACTCGTATCCAACTCTCTCGTGACCCCATGGACTGTAGACCGCCAAGCTCCTCTGTCCATGGGATTCTCCAGGCAGGAACACTGGAGTGGGTTGCTGTGCCCTCCTCCAGGGGATCTTCCAGACCCAGGGATCGAATCTGCATCTCCTAAATGCCCTGCATTGGCAGGCAGGTTCTTTACCACTGGCACCACCTGGGAAGCCTCTACAGGAATGTAGAAATTGGGGGCAGTTGTGGGCAAAGATCAAAGCTGATCTTTGATGTCATTTTACAAAGTGGGGCTGAGATTCAGCGAGGAGGCCTGGCCGAGGGCATGAGACCAGAGTCCTGCCCGTCCCTCCCACCCCAGGCTGCCGAGGGGAGTGGTTTTCCCTAAGTGGCAGCAGACCACTGCCCTCATCTTTCCAGGAACCCTGGACACCCGCACCCACGTCTTCCCTTCTCCTTCCAAGGTACAGCACTTCAAGTCTCCGAGCCTTTGCTTCCCGGCCCAAGTTCCCTGCTCCTCGGGTTGCAGGCTCTGCCCGAGTACCCACTCCGGGGCCACCCCCATACCTGCTCAAGCCTGATTCTCATACAGGCTTTGTCTCTTCTTCGATTTCAGCTCCTTCAGCCACTGGGGAGAGGGCTCTTCCGATCTGAAACCACAAATCCAGTGGGAGTCAGGTGCCAGCCTGAGTGAGGGCTGGGCCTGCGGGCAGGGCTGTGTGGGACCCAAGTCTCCCACCGTTGTGCCAGGGTGGGGGGGCTGAGCCACGCTCGCGGGTGGCAAAGACACCCAGGTCTGTGTGATTGTGATACGAACTAACCAAGGCACCCCCAAATTCCCAAATGGGAAACGTTCAATACATTGTGGTACGTTCATTCTATGAAACCATCTGCAGCAGAAACTCATGCTCACATAAAATTATTTCTATCCATCCATCACCCAAATATCCATCCATCCGTCCATCTCTCTACCCATGCAAATGCTGGTGAGGGTTAAAATTCTAGGCTAGGCCACAGCATCCAGCTGCTCGGTCAAACATTACACTAGATGTTTCTGTGAAGGTATTTATTTTTTTTAAGATGAGGTTAACATTTAAACCAGTGGTCTCTGAATAAAGCAGATTACTCTCCATAACATGGGTAGACCCCATTCAATCAGCTGAAGGCCTTAATGAAGAAAGACCGACCTCCCCAGAAGAAGGGGGAATTCAGAAAAGATACTGCCTTTGGGACTTGAGCTGCGACACTGGCTCTTCCCCAGGTCTCCAGCCTGCCTGGCTGGCCTGCAGATTTCACAACTTGTCAGCCTCCATAATCATGAAAGACCATTCCTTAAAATAAATCCTTGTCTCTTTCTTTCTTTTCCAGAGTATACATCTTAATGGGCTATGTTTCTTTGGAGAACCCTGACTAGTACAATGCCTGTAAGATATAGATAGATTAGACAGGCCTTATGTTTACCGAAAAATTAACAATAATTGTCTGGGGGAGGTACAATCTGTTTCAGCTTTTTGTAAAATTGAAGATGATACATCCAGAAAGCACTCAGGTCACAAGTTCATTTTCCCCAAGTGAATACACTTGAGTCATCACCATCTGAACGACAACACTTTTGAGTGTTTTATTTTTTACTTTCTTCTTTACGTATCTTTGTCCTCAGAATGGTTTGTCATGAGAACACATCATTTGAACAAAAACGATGAAGTCAAACAGAAACTCTTGAAATGTTTTTAAAGGAAAGACAGACCATACTTATGAAGACTTTGATGGCCACGGGAGAACCATCATATGAAACATGTAACCGGAAAAGAAGCTGTGTGTAGTGTCTGCTATAATCTTGACTACATTTAAAAACCACCGAGGAAGAAAAGCCCAGATTTCACCATGGTCGTCTTTGAGTGGGGGGTGGAGGTGGGCAGCGGTGGTGTCAGATCTTGGCTGGTTTTCTTTCCTGCTTTATATTCATTTTATATTTTCTACAGTTCCTACGGTGAGGGTGTATGACTTTTATAACCAAACACATGTTCACACAGGACCTGACCTCTGTTGGTCTCAGAGAAATCTACCGACCCCACGGTCCTGGAGGGCTTGGGGACACTGGTGACTTGGCTGGGGGTGGGGTGGGGGTCTGCGAGGAAGAAGTCCCCTGGGCAGAAAGGGGTTTGAGTACCCCCAAGCAAGCCTCCTGGTGGAGGCCCAGGACCAGGGGGCCCCTAGTCTGGGGGCCCCTCCAGCCCTGGAGAAACACTGGCACCCTTAGCTGACTCCAGGGCAATTCTGGTGTCCCCAGAGCAAGAGAGAGGCACCATCTCGGGACTTCCCTGGTGGTCCAGTGGTTAAGACTCTGCACTCCCAATGCAGGGGGCTGGGGTCTGATCCTTGGTCAGGGAACTAAGATCCTACGTGCTGCAACTTAGAGCTCACAAGCCAGAGATCACACAAGCTCAAAGATCCCGTGTGCCACAGCTAAGACCTGGATAGCCAAGTAAATAGATACTTTTTTAAAAAAGAGAGAGAGAGCCACCGTCTCTGCCTCTGCCTTTTCTCCCTCTCTCATCCTCTTGACCTCTGCTTCCGACAGCCCACTCTGTGCTCCAGTATCATGCACTGCCCACAGCACCCAGTTCTACCGGGTCTCTGGGCCTTTGCATGTGACTTTGGCTGCCTCTTTTGTCTTTCATGACCCAGCTCAGGCATGCCTTCTCTTGGAAGCCTTTCCCACACCCTTCCTCAAGTCTGGGTTCTGACCCCTTCTTCTGCCTTCCTCTATCACCAAGGGCAGATACAAAGGTAGACAGTAAGTAACTCTGACTTTGAAGGTTACAGGGTGTCTGTGTCAACGCATCAAGCCGGCAGTTGCATCAAGAAGGCAGCCGCGGACAACCCTTCCATGATGGCTGTGTGCCAATAAAACTTTGTTAACAAACACAACCCTTCCATGATGGCTGTGTGCCAATAAAACTTTGTTAACAAACACAACCCTTCCATGATGGCTGTGGGCCAATAAAACTTTATTAACACACACAGACGGTGGGCTGAATTTGACCTGTGGGCTATAGCTGGCCAACCCCTGCCCTATCATGGCTCTTGTATGACGATAACAGTATCAGGAACAAGTCCTAACTTTTATGTGTCAGACACGCTCTCACCTCTCATCCTTCTCCATGCTGGAGGGCAGCACGCGACTGCCCAGCACCCCAGGCTGGAAGGAAGACTTGGGGTTCTTGGGCTGGGGGGCCCAGCCAGGGGCCTCGCTGGGACTGTCTGCCTCTGGCCTCTTGTGCAGCTGAGCCTGGAGAGAGAAGACAGGGGCGGAGTCTGTAAGTTGCCTTTGGCCTGGGGAAGGGCCCCATCCTGCCTGACCGTGGAGGCCAAGAAAAATCAGAGGCCATGTTTATAATCCAAGAGGCCACCTGTGACCATTGGGATCAAACAACCATCAGAAAGTCACACCATCACATTATCTTTGGCTGAAAGGCCACCATGAGTGGTGTCCTCATCACAGGCCCTTCCGTCTCCTCTAGTTTCCTGAGAACCCCACGATGGACACAAGAGTTCATCTTATGGCCAAGGACCAGCTCTTCTGAGTTCCTCGCTCCGGTGAATGTGAATCAGTGGGGTTTCTGACTATCAGACTTGCAGGAGAAAAAGGCCATCATTTTTGGAGGACACGGAGGGGATGGGGCGGCTTGGAAGGGTGGGCCAGGGCTGTGATGGCGGCAGATGGCATCTGGCCCCAAGGGTAATGGTGGCACAGCCCCTGCCGCATGGTCGTCACCACCACCGCCCGCCTGGCAGCCTGTGCACTGGACTCCAGACTCTTCCAGGCTTAAGCTCCAGGACACGCGTTTCCGGGGTAGAGGCTGGCTTTCTGTATTTTATAGAGGAGTAGCCTAAAGGTCAAAGGTCGAAGGGTTTGCCCAAAGTCACAGGGTTTTCCAAAGTGGGATCCGCCTGAGGTCTGCCCAATGCCGACCCCGGGACTCATTTGAGAAAAAGCCCGGCAGCCTCCACAGGGCCTCTGCCCCCTCCTGTAAGCAGGGCCTGTCCCTGCCTCCAGCAAGGCCAGGAGGGAGAGAGGAGAGGAGGGGGGCGGCGAGTGAGAAACACGGGCCTGTCCTGCGGCCGCGCGCAGCTCTGGGGGTGAGGTCCCACACCTTCAGTGCAGCCGGGTCCACGCCGGGAAACACAGGCATCCTCTGAGGTCTGCAGACAGGCGACCTCTCGGCCCTGGGCGTCCTCTCCTCCTCGTCTGACTCTTCCTTCCTCGGGGATTTCTCCTCTGTTGCAAAGAAAGGATACTGAAGTCAATGGCAGCCACCGTTCTGAGATTCTGGCTGTCTGTCTACAGGGCAAGTGCAACCCTTTAGCCAGGAATCACATGGTTCGCCATGAACTGGCCCTGCCTTTCCAGCAAGATTCCTGCTAGGCCCCGCTTGGGCAAGGCTGAACTGCTTAGAGAGACCCTCCTTGAGATTCCCCAGCCCCGCCACACCCACGGAACGTTCTTTCCACATCTCTGACCCTTTGATCCCGTTGCTGTTTCACCCAGAATACCTTTCCCTGGCTAATTCCTATCTGCTCTTTAAGATCCAGCTTACGTTTTGACATGGAACACAGACAAGGAAGCCCTCAGAGGAAAACCTATAGCCGTGAATGATGGATCAGAAACCCCAAAAGACTGGTAACAAATGAACTGGGCTTTCAACTCGAGAATCTAGATGAAAAGGCCAACCAAGAAACCGGCAGAGAGGATAAGGGTGACTCGGATAATGATAAAAGCGGAAACAGTGAAAGCCTAAAGTTGTGTCTCAGTCCCTTGCAACCTATGGAGCCCCAATTAATAGAGAATCCGCAAAAAATTTTCCTACTTAGCTTCTAGCAAGCTCGGTGTAATGAGAAATCAGTTTCTGATGTTACTGCGTTCTGATGTCCTTCAGCCTTCAAAGTCAGAAAGCTATTCCCAGAGTTTACCCTAACTCGTCTCTGCGAGCCAGTGCGCGGCCCGCGGAGGAGGAGACGGGGCGTACCGGTGGAGTCCCGGAACATCCACGCGCTGTCGGGCTCCTCCTCCCAGGCGGACCTGCCGTCAGGCTCACTGGTGCGGCTGCGCCGGAGCGAGCGGGCGGTGGGAGCGCGGCGGCGGCTGCTCTTGCTGAGCTGCACCCGGGTCTTGAGGGCACTTGAGTCGAGCACTGAGGTTTGCTGTCGGAGCGGCAGGGAAGAAGGGGAAAAGATGAAGCTCCAGAGACATAAAGGGAGGGCACCGCCCCGGGAGGGTGCGTGGCTGCGCTGATATGCACAAGATGCCATCTAAGGGGGCACGCGGACCAGCATTTCCGCATTCTCCTAGGAACCTAAGGCCTCGAGCCGACGTTCCCTGCGAAGGATACCATGTAGGCTGATTCTAAGAAACAAATGAACCTGGAGTGCCCCACGCAGTGCCTGGCACATTGTGGGCACATAATGCAAACACCGTCCCCCCTCCTGGTGACACCATCCAAGCAGGTGAGCTGCAGCAGTACATTAACGGGAGCTCAATACACGTTTGTTTGTTTGTTGAATAAACAACTGAACACATCGCCTTAACTAAATCCTTACAGCGATCTTACTCCACACAGGGTCCACGAGCTGAGATTCTCAAGGTGGTCCTTCCTCTACCCACAGTAATTCAGGAGGCAGGGGGGAGCTGGTGGAGCAACCCATTCAGTACCAGGCATTTGTTTTCAAGCAGCACTCTCTGAGCAGAGGTTGGGGGCGGGTCAGTGATGTTTCCAAGATCACCACCTTTCCTGCTGGAAGGGCCGGGCGGGGGCAGACCCCCAGGCTGAGCCCAGCAAGGAGGAGGTGGGGCAGATGTGGCTCAGTGATCCCCCAGGAGACCACAGTGAAGAGATGGGAGCTTGGGGATCATATCCCGTTCACTTCAATTCCTAGCTGTTGTCACCTCAAGCAGGGGACTTACCCTCTGAGCTGAGGTGTCCCTATTTGTAAAAATGGAATGATACTAGTATCCCCTTCCTAGAGGGGCTGCAAGACTTCAGGAGTCCAGGCATGGACAGCCCTGGCTCCAGCAGCATCTGAGCCAGGCTCATGGCCGAGGGCTGCTCCTACCCGAGGCGTCTGTGTGCCCCACCGGCTCGGGTCCTGGTGCGAAATGTCGGATTCTTCCTCTCAGGTCTGCTTTGGAGAAATCCTGTCACCCAGGGCCTTTTAAGTTAGCAATGATGAGCTAATTTCAGTGACTCATTTCCCAGAACTGGTAAGTGACAGACACCCCGGTGGGGGCGGCAAGAGGGTGCTGATGTCTGCAGAGCTGTTTCCCAAGCCGGCCACGATGGTGTCCGGTGCGGGGCTGGTCGGGGGTGGCGGTAGCTAGAGAGAGACGCAAGTCATAAAGGATCTGCCCTCCCTAAGAGGAGAGCATGCCGCTCCTGTGGTCACCGAACAGCCAGTTTCTGAGACTCAGAGGAAGTGGGAGGGAGCCACAGTGACGCAGGCGCCGGCTTGAGGGGGACTTGGTTCCATTTCCCTGGGGCCCCCCCTGCAGCCTCAGACTGGTGCAGAACATCCTGAGTTGTAAAAAAAAAAAGAGAGAAGAGACAGTACTGTTTCCAGCACTGCTCCCAACTACCGACTCACATCGATAAAGGAGAAGTCGTCCACCTTCTTTGCGGGGCAGGCATCCGGCAGGGGCGGCCCCTCCATTCCGTCAGTAGACTCCAGGTCTGTGCTGGATCGGTCCACGCTGGTGCTCCGCTGGTCCCTGGAACAGTCATGCTGGTCCCCGGCCGAGGTGACCTCCGTTTGGGAGGACAGCGAGGACAGGCGGCTGCTGGGGGGCTGCTTCCAAGCCGAGGTGGCACTGCTGTCGGGGGACGGGGACTCGGGGGCCAAGCTACGAGAATGGGAGGGAGGGCGGAGGCATGGTCAGGCGAGACCTGGATGCCACAGAAGGCAGGATGTGGGGCACGCTTTGTATGCCAGGAAATAAGAGACAGACATCCCAGTGACAAGAACCGTCCTGGGCCCAGCCAGGTGCTGTCCACGGTGCCTCTAGAACACCTGGACAGGTGCGGAAGGGGAGGAGCCACTCCCCCATGCAAGGCCCTCTAACTCTGTGCTACCCAGTGGGGGAACCGTGGGTCACCTGTGGCCGCTGGGCCCTTGTGATGGGGCGAGTAAGGGCTGAGCTGGGCCAAGAGTACAGAGTACACGCTGATTCCTAACACTTGGAGTGAAAAAGAAAGTAAAATGCCACAGTAATAACTTTACAGTGGTTACATGTTACAAGGACAGTATTTATAAAGTCTATTGGGTTCAGTGGGGCTTCCCAGGTGGTGCTAAGCCGCCTGCCAATGCAGGAGACATGAGAGACGTGGGTTTGATCCCTGGGTGGGAAAGATCCCTTGGGGAAGGGCACAGCAACCCACTCCAGTATTCCTGTCCAGGGAATCCCATGGACAGAGGAGCCTGGCGGACTGTGGTCTGTAAGGCTGCACAGAATCAGACATGACTGAAGCGATTTAGCACACACACTGGGTATTGGGTTCAGTAGAATACACTGTTAAAATTAATTTCGCCAGGATTTTCCCTGGCAGTCCAGTGGTTAAGACTTCCCCTTCCAGTGCAAGGGGTGAGGGTTCGACCCTTGGTCAGGGAGCTAAGATCCTGCATTGCTGCATGGCCAAAAAAACCAACAACAGCAACACAGAAGTGATACTGTGACAAATTCAATCAAGACTTTAAAAAGTGGCCTTTAAAAAATAGGAACAAGAAAGACTTTAAAAAAAGGAAAAAAAATCTTTAAAAAATTAATTTCGCCTGTTTTCTTTTTACTGTCTTGATGTGGCCACTACAACACTGCAGCTGCATGTATGTCTTGGGTGTGCAACTTGTGCTGCGTTTCTGTCGGGCAGGGCTGATGGCGATCAAACCGTCACTGGCCATCACCCGTGGAGGAGCGGGAGGTGGGGAATATCCTGCATTGCTTCATCCATTCATTCATTCACTCACTCGACAAAGATTTACTGAGCGCCTACCATGAGCCAGGCCCTGTGCTGAAAAGCTGTATCCTTTCATCCTCCCCACCATCCTACAAGATAGGAGTAACCTCACGAAATTAAATATTAACCTTGCGGAAGATGAGGAAACTGAGGCAGAAAGATGTGAAGAGGCTTGCCCAAAGGGGCAGGTCCAGAATCCAGGTCCATGACCCTCTCTCTCCTCCTGGAATTTCTGCCCATGATAATGTATTCCAAGTATCACTCGGATAATTGGAACCACAAAAGATAGAAGATTTATAAATAAATCAAGACATTACAATTAAATAGGCTCCCTGCTCCTCTCTTAAAAAGACCCCAAAGTCAAGAGCAGAGGAAAGCCTTATCCTAAGGACGGGGGGACCGGCACAGCAGACAACACATCCCTGATTGGAGGGTCTGCCCCAGAAGACCCCCGAACTTCACCCTTGGGCAGAGCTGTCAACCCAGGTGTTCTGGCGCCTCACTCAGGGAGCACAGCCTGCTTTTTGTCAGCTCTGCGAGGATTTTGTTACTTGGAATAAGCAGGACCATAGGGCGTGGGGTGGGTGGGATTGAGGCAGAGCCACCAAAGATGAGGGAAATACCAACGAGGGGCAGCAGGTGGCGCTGCTGCTCAGGCCTGGGAGTAAAGCCGCGCCTGGGCCCTTTCTGGGAGGAGGAGCTGCAGTACCTCCGAGAGACAGGAGGGGGCGGCCGATACCAGGACACGGGGCGGGGACGGGGGCAGGAGGAGATGCCAGTGGCCGGGTTTCCCCTCTCCCTGTAAGAGCCGGGAGGATACAGGCCCGGAGGATAGGGGCCTCCCAGGTCAGACGGTGACAGCAAAACCAGGAGCCAGGCTCCCAGACTCGCAGTCCCCTGCTCCTGCAGGAGCATCCTAGTGAAATTTAAGTAAGCTCATTAACTAACCATATATCACAGCTTAGACAAGAAAACGAAATGCCCTTCATGGGTACTATTAGAAACCTGTGCTTCCCTTTTTCTTTTCCTGTGTGCCTAGTCGCTCAGTCGTGTCTGACTCTCTGCGACCCCATGGACTACAGCCGACCAGGCTCCTCTGTCCTTGGGGATTCTCCAGGCAAGAATACTGGAGTGGGTTGCCATGCCCTCCTCCAGGGGATCTTCCCAACTCAGGGGTCGAACCCAGATCTCCTGCACTGCAGGAAGATTCTTTACTCTCTGAGCCACCAGGGAACCCCGTGAATACTGGAGTGGGTAGCCTATCTCTTCTCCAGAAGAACTTCCTGATGCAGGAATCCAACCAGGATCTCCTGTGTTGCAGGCAGATTCTTCACCAGCTGAGTTACCAGGGGAGCCCACCCATTTCTAATTTCACTCACCTCCCCCCAACTTGGGTACTGATGACAGCTATGGGATGTAAGTCAGAGGAGGGCTGTGGCCGCTCCTGGCTGGGGTAGGGCGCAGGGGAAGGAGCCGGGAGACCTGGGTCTGAGTCCAGCTCAGCCATGGACACGCCATATCCCTGGGCACGACACCCACAGATGAGGAAACCGAGACACAGCGACAGCTGGAAAGCGGCCACACTGGGGCTGACCCAGATCTTTCCGGCTCTAGAACACCATGCGATCCTGCACCCCTCAGGTGGGAAAGGTGAGCCGAGAACATGGCAAGCCCACCCTTGGTGTCCACAAAGCTGCTACTGTGTGTGATCCCACCCAAGGGCAAGAGGAGAAAAACTGCATTTTTAAAACAAAGAAAAGGTACGACGAACAAGTGCAATGTATCAAACTCCTACGACTAAGTGCCGGGAAAGAAGCCAACTGTGAACACAAGTTAACCTCCTGTCCACCCCATGTCTCAGTCTTCGTCTCTGCAAGATGGGACTAGAATTAAATGTTATGCTTCAGAGTTTACAACAGGGCTGGGCCCATCCGCTTAATACATCTCAGCTGTTTTGTGAGCATCATTCCCTTTCTACAGGGCCTTCCCAGGTGGCTCAGTGGGTAAAGAATTCACCTGCAATGCAGGAGATGTAGGTTCGATCCCCAGAAAGGGGTAGATCCCCTGGAAGAGGCCAAGGCAACCCACTCCAGTCCTAGAGAATCCCATGGACAGAGGAGCCTGGCTGGCTACAGTTTCATGGGGTCACACAGAGTCGGACACGACTGAGCGACTAAGCACGCATGCACGCGCCCTTTCTACAGAAGAGGAGTTCGTAAAATCTGGCAAATAAAACTAAATGATCCAGGACCCCACAGCCAGCCAGAATGGAGCTGGAATTCAGGCCTGCCTGCCTCCTGAATCCAGGTGATGTGTGGTAACCTTCAGGCTTCTGCACAGTCGTAACAACATTCCCTCCCAGCCAGGCTGACACCTGAGGGGCCCTCCACGGCACTAATAGTGATGATCCCGAATGCTGACATAGCTTATGAAGCAGTGTGTATAATATGCTTCTCTGTTTATAATCACACTATATGTCTACATAGAAAAAGCCTAGAAAGACAACCAAAAACACTAATGACAGTGATACCTGTGTCCTGACGTCAAAGTTGGTTTTCATTTTCTTTGCAATTTTTTTTGTATTGTGGTGAAACATGTAATATGACATTTGCCAGTAGGGGCATTTAATGCATTCATAATGCTGTGGGCTTCCCTTGCAGCTCAGCTGGTAAAGAATCTGCCTGCAGTGTGGGAGACCTGGGTTCGATCCCTGGGTTGGGAAGATACCCTAGAGAAAGGAAAGGCTACCCACCCCAGTATTCTGGCCTGGAGAATTCCACGGACTGTATAGTCCATGGGGTTGCAAAGAGTTGGACACGACTGAGCAACTTTCACTTTCCTTCTTAATGCTGTGTGACCATCACCACTCTGGGTTAAGAAATCTTCATCCGCCCAGGAGGAAATCTGGTCCCCATCTGGCAGCCGCTCCCCAACCCTGGCAACCAAAGTCTCCTCTGTCTCTATGGATTTGCCTATTCTGGATATTTCATATATCATTTTAAAGTCTTTTTTTTTGGTAATTTCTAAACTTCTGTTTTATAAAAAGAATGGGTTGCTCTTATTACACAACAACCTGTTACAGACAAAACAGGTTCTACTTAGTAACGGAGAAACCAGGAGGCAGATGGGGGCCCTGACTCCCCCAGAGGTCCTGCCCCACACCGCTTACCTCTCCCCGCTCTGGCGCTGGTCTGGCCACGTCCCATACTGACTGTCGGCTTCCTGCACGAGGGTGTCGGTGTCCTTGGCCTCGGGGGTCCGCCTGGAGAAACAGTGCTTCAGCTGATCCTGCAAGGACAAGCCAGAGGGTTCTACCAGGGGCAAAGGCTCAGAACCTGGTCCGGCTGATAAACCTGTTTATCAGCCCATCCAGCTGATAAGTCATGCTGCATCGCCCCCTGCTCAAACCCACCCGGCTCCCTACTCTGCTCTCTGAGAGGGGTCCAAATGTCTGCACTGAGAATAGAGTGACAAGACGTCCGGGTCTGCCCAAGGCATCATAGGAGGTGGGACTGCTGGAGCCGAAGCCAGGCAAACTGGGGTGAAGGGGTCACTCTCCTGGGTCCTCTGTGGGTACCACCCTGCCCCTGGCCACACTTCTGTCCATCTCCGGTGCTCCCAGGACTTATCAGTCTGGTTAGGGCTAAGATGCCGTGCTCCTGGTGCAGGGGGCCTGGGTTTGATCCTTGGTCAGGGAATTAGATCCTGAATACCACAACCAAGTGTTTGCACGCCACAACTAAAGATCCTGCATGCTGTAACTAAGACCCAGGGCAGCTAAACAAACAAACAAACAAAACCCCAAGAGATGGGGATCTCTGAGTGCTGAGTAAGGGAGGAAGGGCCCCTGGAAATCAGAACGGCAAGACTCCAAGGCTGCTGAGGGTGGAATCAGGGCAGGAGGCAGGGGAACGCTTCCTGACCTCCTTTGGAAGGCTCTGGGTGGCAGGGTGGGGGTGGAGGAGTATATGGTGCTCAGCAAAAAACATATTGGCTTCCGTGTGTCCCCATTTGTGGGCTTTCCTGCAGAGGTTTAAGATTCACGCTCAGGGATGTGAAGTCCCTGAAGGCAGGGAGGGAGGTCTGCTCCCCGCACTGCTAAAGCCAGACTGGGGATTCTGGGAGGCAGCATCCCCAACTCCCCTGCCACTCTCACACCCATGTCAGGTCAACCTTCAAGCCCTTCAAAGTCTCCCTCAGGAACATTCCGTCCAACCCTGGCCAGCTCTGGGGCTCCCCTGCCTCCTTCACCTCTGGTCCCCTCCCAGACATTCTTTTCCCATAACAGTTTCCAAAGCTGAACTCGAAGTCTGCAGGGTCCTTGCTCAAAACCCTTCAGTAGCTCCCCAGAGTCAAGTCCGAACACTGGAAGGATGGCCTGTGGGACGTTCACTGGCGGGGCTCTTTCTCCACTGTCCCCTGTCCCTCTCCCACCCCCAGAGCTTCCCACCCCCTCTTTCTGGCTGCTCCAGCCCTCCCTCACCTCGGGACCTGCTGGAGCAGCCGCCACCTCTTGGCTCTCATTCAGACTGCAGCTTCAGCTTCGCTGGCTCTTCCTCCAGGAAGTCTTCCCGGAACTCGCCCTCTCCCAAGGCTGGCTCAGGATCCCCCCAGCTCCCATTCCCTAGACTTCAGGTCTCTACACCTATGTTGTCCAACACCATAGCCACACATGGCTATTTACATTAATTAAAATTTGAAAAATACAAAGAATCCAGTTTTTCAGCGGCTCTAACTACATTTCAAGGGCTCCGTGGCCACATGTGGCTACCAGATTGTGCAGCAGGGACAGAATACACTTCCGTCACAGCAGAAAGTTTCCAGTGAAGAGCACTGCTGCAGAATGTCCCACAATATATTCATTGTGATTGACCTGTTTCTTTTCATTCTCCTGTGGACAAGTACTATTTCTGGAGCCAGGATGCCTGGATTTGAAGCCAGGCTCCATGGCATGGTGGCTGTGTGACCTTGGGCAAGTTACTTAACCTCTCTGGGCCTAGTGTCTGGACAAAGCAGATGTTAAGTATTTGGTTGAATGCCATCTCGTTCATGACGTCTTAACACCGAACCCCCAAATCTAGAGTACTCCAGGGGTTAGGATCATCTAAGGGAATTCATCTTGTCAATGAGACTTAAGCAAGCAGGCTGTTTGTCAGCACTTCCTTCCGTTAGCCTGCTGCTCGCCGTGTGCACATTATCCACGTCTCATTGTGGCAGACCCTGGCGGTCCTTCACGGCAGCAAGGCTTGATCTTCACTCTCAGGGCCACGAGGCCTCAACAAGACCACAGAAAGGGTCCAAAACTCTCTAGAACTTGCTGAAAGTCAGGTTTTTACAATTAGCTGTAAGGCAGAGTGTTTTTCCAAACCAGCTTTGCCTCACAGGCTGCCATAAAAACCCCCCACTGCCTGCAGGGGAGTACGTATCTACAAGGCGGTCTGAAAATACACGATGGCTAAAAAGAAGAGTTGTCTGAGGAACACACATGTCCAAATTAGCACCCCCCCATTTGGCATGTACCCCCCTGATGGATAGCAAACAGCCACAATCCAAATTTTAGCTGCCATTTGCCACATGAGGTCATCGCATCTTAACATTTTACATCTCCAAGGACCCCTCTGAGTCCATTTGGTTGGCCTTTTCAGATGACAAACTTTTTCAGATGATAAAGTCAGAGGCACGGATGGGTTGCTCGCAGTGAGTCTGGAACCCAGGTTTGGGCTTCTTCCACACACACCCCACCCCTAACCTTTTCCAGGATACTTAAAGAGGCTCAGGTGAGGAAATGCATGTTAAAATGCTCTTAAGAAGGCGAACTTGGCGAGACTTAAAACGAGAACTTGGTGGATTTAAAAAAACCCCTGCTTGGGGATTCCCCTGGTGGTCCAGTGGTGAAGATTCCGCACCTTTCACTGCAGGGGGTACGGGTTTGATCCCTAATCAGGGAACTGAAATCCCACATGTGGTGTGGCACGGCAAAATAATAATAGTAATAATAAATTAATTAATAAAAACCACTTGCTTGGACTAGGTCATCAAGCCCCCAGGCTGGTGGTGGGTGGACATTCTGGGCCCTTGTCTTACAGACAAACACGACTGCCTTAGCCCAGGACAGATGAAGGACAGTTTTCTAACAGACGCCTTTGAGGGCTGTGTTTAAACAAGCGGTAACACATGTCCTGAAATTTAAAACGTGTACACCCTTGACTCAGCCAGTTTAGTTCCAGAAATTTATCTCAAGAGAATCATCAGACACGCTCGCCAAGATCCGTGAACATGGATGCTTCCCCATGGGAGCGAAAAGATTGCAAAATGTTGCAAATACTGGAATCGCCCGAAACACCCAACAAGACAGGGATCAGTGAAGTATCAGCTCAGCTCAGTCGCCCAGTCGTGTCTGACTCTCTGCGACCCCATGGACGGCAGCACGCCAGGCTTCCCTGTCCATCACCAACTCCCAGAGCTTGCTCAGACTCTTGTCCATCGAGTTGGTGATGCCATCCAACCATCTCATCCTCTGTCGTCCCCTTCTCCTCCCGCCTTCAATCTTTCCCAGCATCAGGGGCTTTTTCAGTGATCTCTTCATTCTTTCGGGAGTTATTTGTCCACTCCTCTCCAGTAGCATATTGGGCACCTACCCACCTGAGGAGTTTATCAGTGAAATACACAGAACGAAATAGCCATGTGGCGGAATAAACACAGCCAAGGAAAAGGATGCTCAGAAAGACTACTGACTATCACAGAAAGCTGTCTGTCTTATCCTAGCAAACATTCGTATTTTTTTCCCCCAAAGTCAGATCCCTTTATCACATGTAGGTAACAAAACTGCGCATGTGTTGTGATACCAGCTTTGTGAAGACAAATATATAAATCCATGTGAGAATAGGCAAAGGAGATCTCTGGAAGTTTTCAGAGAAAACTGTTACCAGTGACACTGCCTGTAGTGAGGAAATGGGCTTTTTTTTTTTTTTTTTTGCCACACCACGGTGCAGCATGTGGGATCTTAGTTCTCCATTCAGGGATCGAACCCTCGCCCCACCCAGCCACAGTGGAAGCGTGGAGTCTTAATCACCAGGGAAGTCCCTGTCTCTCTATTATTGATGATGATTTTATTTAGGAGCCACACTTGTGATTTTGGATCCCAATATCAGCAGATGATTAAATTAAATAAAATCAATTAAACCATTCCTCCAACTCTATCAGATGGTACACATCCCCAGTTAAGAGCAAATCAGAAGAGGGCTCTTCATTTGTTCATCTCTACCAGAGCCCAGCAAACTCCTCCTATCAAGGGCCAGATAATAAATATTTTGGGCTTTGTGGGCCCTGGGGTCTCTGTCTCAGCTTCAGCTTTGCTGTCGTTACCATGTCAGCAGCTCAGATGATGTCTGTGTTCCAGTAAAACTTTATTTACAAAACAGGGGGCTGGGGACTTCTCCGGTGGTCTAGTGGCTAACACTGCAAGCTCCCAACGCAGGGGGCCAGGTTCCCATCTCTGGTCCGGGAACTAGATCCCACACGCCGCAACTAAGACCCGGCACAGCCAAATAAATAATATACAGGTGGCTGGCTGCTGGGCCCACGGGTGGCTGGCTCCTCCCTGACGCCCTGTAGACTGTCAGCTGCATGAAAACGGGTTCTCTTTCACCCACTACTGCACCCAGTGCTTAGAACCACACCAGGCCTGGAGTACTTAAATAAATATTTGCTGGAAGAATATGCTTCTGAAAATAACTTTTTTTTTGCACGGAACAGGTGTGAGCTCCTTAAGCAGAAAAGGCCATGTCGTTAGGGAGGGGGTGACGGTAAGAGAAAACATGACCCCTGCAAGTATTCCGGGGTGTCTGACACATCCGTCTAGGAAAGGATCCTGAGTCAGGGCGGCGCCGGGTGGCCCGAGGCTGACGGGGCAATTCTGAGCAATTCAAGACGCGCCCCCCCCCCCCCACCGCAACTGGACACCGTCAGCCGTGCAGGAGGCCCCGGGGTCACGGGGCCCAGGCTGTCGAGGGTGACACTGGCCGTCCCAGTGCCCGCGGGGCCTGGTGGCCTCTCCCTGCCTCGTGCCCGGATCAGACTTGCACCACGGCTGAGCAGTAACGGTAACAACATCGAGGGCTGACACCACGGCGAGCACTGCTGGACATCCTGGCCTTTCACTCTGCACAGGGAGCCCGAGGACTCGCGGGCACTGTCATGGGCCCATTTTACAGGGGAGGAGACTGAGGCCCAGAGAGGGGCCCTGACACACCCAAGGTCACACAGAAGGTGGGTGGAGCTGGGATTCG